AATCGAGCCTGGTGGGCCAGGTGGGTGCTCAGTACTAGGCGTACTCAGCGGCTTGTAACGGATGCAAGTCTGCCACGGTGTGCAGGACGTAGACTCGGAGACTTGGGAGGGAGAAGAGAGGGAGTGGATGGTCAACCCATGCTCCCATGTGGGGGAGTTGGTTGCCAGATAATGGGATTAATCCACAGAGTCTACTTAATGAGCAAAGGAATTTATTTGGGGGTTAACTCACAAGCATGGGAGATTTATTGTAGGGTCCGGGGAAAGCTGAGCTATGTCCCATACTGATTTGCCTGGTCCAAGATCTCAGCATCCGAAACCGTGAGGTAGTGAAGAGAGAGCATGTGAGTATCCCAGGTCTTCGGCCACACCCCAGGGGTGTGTACCTCAAGGTCATAGGCAAGTGTAACAGTTACAGCTGCCTCACAAGGCGGTGCTTCAGGGCATGGCTCAAACAGCCACCCACTACACTAGAACATCCTCACCAATGGGACAAATACAAAACCCACCCCAGGATAAGAGTCCTAAATCAGTGGTAAAGCACTTGCTTAGTTCATGAGAGGCCCTGAACTCCACTGCAAGACAGACAGACAGACAAACAAGCAAAAAATCAAGCAAATTCCCAAATGAGAAGCGCCTCTAGAGGCCCCATGGAGGGCTTTGGACTGCTTTCCTTCCTTAGCATCGTGACCCCACACTGCCCTTGACTCTGACAGCTCCATCCATTTTTCTCATGAGTGGGAGGAAGAGGGAAGAACTTTGAGCAGACACATCAGGTTGGGTGAGGGAGCCAACATTTATCTAGAGCATAAAGTGCTGGCAACACGGGACAAGAATAATAGTTCTGCTGGCATCTCTTGTTCCCCACTCTACAAGCTCGCTTTCCTGCGGCCTGTGCCAGGTGTAACCAATGGTGTCACAATCTGACTTTATCGTGTGCTTTTTCCAGGCCTGCTCTGTCGGCTCTGTGCCTGCCCCCAGAGGCCCACTCCGCCATCCCTAGCCATGGGCGAACCCATCGCTCACGGTTGAAGGAGTGAATACTCTCTTTTGTTACTAGAACCCAATCTTTCCACCCCTTGTGGCAATTCTCCCGAACCTCACGAGAGTCATCAGGGGGCTCGTATTCTAGATGTCCATGGGGATGACTGGCACCAGCACACTGAAATTGACTTTTTTTTTTAACCTGTTACACTCTTCCCAGTTTCCCACCTGTGTTCCTGGAATTGCTTCCAAAATAAATGACTGCACAGGAATCTTTTTCTCAGGGCTTTATTGGAATCCAGAAAATATAGTTGTATAAAGCTAAATTACAGATAGGTAATAGGGACAGATAATAGGGAGAGATAAACAGGTCTGTCGATCTAGAGAAAAGATAATAGATATAGCTAGATCGATAGACAACAGATAAATATGTGGGTAGACAGACCTAGAGAGAAGACAGCCAGCTAGCAGGCAATGGGTAGACAGATGGCGATGTCTGCTACACCTGTATTCTGGACAGACTCATTGCATGGAGAACATTCTAGCAGACATTCTGCTTGGAAGTGAGAAGTAAGAAGATGAGTGCCTTCCTGGTCTGTATAGCCCACACTGCAATAGCTATGGATTGTTAACTAGGAATTACAGTTAGAACAAAAACCATTCGAGATGGAAGCCAGACAATGGGTGCTGTTTTTCTAGGCTTCCTTTGGATCTGGAGAAACCCATCTTTCTGGGATGATTTGGAAAGAGCCTTACAGATGTGGTCCTAGCTGGGTATGTGTACATATATTGTGATATCACTTCCCTGTAAGCACAAAGGATGTGTCTACGAGCTAGTTTTCCTAATGTGCCTACAGTTAATGGAGTGAGAGTCTTGAGCAAGTGGGAATATCATAATATTTAGCAATTCATTATGCTAAAATTAAAATGACTTTCATGACACATGCTAAGACATTTATTCTTTTAAAGAAAACATACGAACCACTCCTGGCAGGGAGCTCAGCTACCCCATTTGTCATCAGAAGGAGACAGAGCAGCAGGGTGGTGGGAAGTGGGGGGCGGGCAGAGTTAGAGGGAGGGAGGTGGGCAGGGCAAGGTCTTGACACCCCATGCATCTTTTTTCTAACTCATTTAGCCAGACGAAGTAACCACAGGTTGGTAAAGCATGTCCAAGCCACCCTCGCGGTGACTCAGGAAGTCAAAGCCTGGTAATTTACTTTTAATTCAAAGAGAACAATGTCAAGACAACTCAAACTCTGGAATGGGTAGAAAAATATTTTTAGTCATTTTTTTCACCCCTGAGCCCACTGTGGCTTGAGAACAGAGGTGCTGATATACTTTTTTTTTATGATTGCCTTGCAAGAATTCTGTCTTGCAATGACTTTTTCTGGTTTAGAAAGAGCCACAGAATCATGCTTTATTATTTGCAATATGTTAGGATGAAGAGGGGTCTTAGCAGCTAGTTCAACCTCTTTTGTGTGTCTGTGTAGAGGGGGAGTAGTCAGAGGGCAGCCTTGGGCATTGGTTTTTGTTTTGAGGTAAGGCCTCCTGTTCTCCACTGCACATGCCAATCTAACTGACCCCTGCTTCTGGGGATTTTTGTCTCCACCTCCTGTGGGAGGATTGAGATCACAGGCATGTATTATCAGACCCACTTTATGTTCAGGGAATTCAAACCTGGGTCCTCACATTTGCCAGGCAAGCACTTTAGCCACAGAACCATCTTTCCAGCCCTCAACCTCTTCTTCTGAGATGCTTAGCATTGTGTAATAACTGCATCTTTTTTGCTGAACCAGGCCTCAGCTTCACAGCAGTGTCTATCCTGGTTAGAAGTCATTCATGACCAGACAGGTCCTGCTAAATGGGTAGAAACCCATCTGGCATAGGGGCATTTATTTTGAAATAGGAATTAAAGTACATTCTCTGCTCTTGGTCTATTGAAACCTGAGAACTAAACAATACTTAGTCATTTCAAAAAGGAATTCCAAGAGAATACGGCCATTGGCTTTCTTCCTCCTTTTGTATTTTCTACCAACCTAAGCACCTGATGGACTGTTCAGTTTGCAGGTCCAACTCTCTTAGAGTTATGAATGAGAGATCTATAACTTCATAAGAAGTAGCTGAGGTCTTGATGGATAATTTGAGATCACTCAGGTTGTGAACAGGGGAGGATGGGCTTCCTTAGGTGGCAGGGGTCCCCACGTCACTAGACCCAGGACCTCTGCCTGCTTGATTAATGTGATGCTCACAAAATAAACTCCACTTTAAGGAGGCCTCCCTCTTCTATGCTGAGGGGATTTAGTGCAGTTGAAAATGTTGACAGCAGAGTGACTTGAATGTTTGAATTGATGGCCCTTTGAGATGAAGCCTGAACTTCTCAGGGTACTCCTCTACCATGGGACTTCACTCACCAGCTCTAAGCTGCATTTCGGAAAGATTTAGTTTGACATTCTCTGTCTGCTGGAAGCAGAAGACCCGAGGTGGCCACCCTATCCTTGTGTGTGCTCTGAGTCCTCCAGGCCCTCTGTCCTCACCACTGACTGAGAGCATCGAGAGGCCTAACGAGGTGCCTCTCCCTTTAAGCTGATCGTGTTATCCGTCAGCACTCAGAACTGCGGTAGAATTCTAGCATGCTACCCATGTTCATAAAACCTTAGTATTTCCCCGTTCCCCAGTGACCAAAGCCTCTGATTAATGGTCAGGTATACTTTGGTGGTAGGCATGAAGTGAGCCATCAACCACAGACTCAGAACTCATGGCCGTGAGTCCAGGCTTAAAAGATACTTATTGCGTGGCACTTCTATGTATCTATGATTAAATGTCAGCAGGGTGGCTGGCTTGGAGGTGGCCAGTCCATAAATGCAGACGTCTTCTGTCTCGAAAAACTCTGTTCTCAGATCATTCCTTACGTTCAGTGGAAGCTCATCTCAGGGAAATGATTTCCAAACTGATGAGTGGTTTCTGTCTATTACTGCCTGTTCTCAATGACAGGGAATAGATATGATAACTACTGTGTCTAGGAACAAAAGAAAACAAAACAAACAAAAAATGTGTGCACCAAATGGGAAGCCACTAGTGCTCGGAGTGCTAACCAAGGAGTCTATTAATTTTAATATTTTTCAGAAAGGCCTAGGCACCCCTAAACAAAGCTGTGGGTCACATAAAATAATATGCCTTCACTTAGAAGTACTTATTGAATAAAAATGAAGATAGAAATGATTAGTGGCTGATTCATTTACACAATGGCTTCTTCTACAGTACCACAATTTAAGAATATATTGAATCACTTTAAATGTTAGATTAAAGTGGCTCACAATTTTTTGAAATAAGCAAAGGACATTATATTTATAAGCATGCAAGTTGAGAGCCAGGCCAAACATTCTCATCTGTTTTACATATTTTTATCAATTGCCATGGATTCACAGGAAAGTCTCATGGATGGAACTTTAAAATGAATTTTAAAAATTATTTTCGGTAGTCACTAAGATTTTCATCTCCCTTTTTTGGTCTTAGGTAATTTCTCTGGCATTTTCCCTTGATTGACAAACCGTGACTCCTTGCTCTGGTATAGAATATGTTTAGCTTGAAGAATATACTATTCCCCCCTCATTAAAAACTATTTGCTGAACTTTACTAAGACAAATGGATTCATCTGCATGTTTACTCCCTTTGGCTATGAGGTCAATAAGATGACATCAGGCAGAAGAAGGTTAAGTAAAGATGCTGAACACTTGGAAACATTTCTAAAAACATCCAGGAAGGAGCCAGATGCTGTGCTCCTGCAAGACACGTCATGCTCTCGGCCTTAATAGATGTTAGTGACTTGCCAGTAGCCATGTTTATAAGCCCAGCTGATCAAAATTCGCTGCACTTTGCAACAGTTATAGCTAGGACAGGAATTTCAGGAAATCTGGAACACAGTGAAAAGAAATCAACAGGACAAAGAAAGATGAACAAAACTCTGAGGCTTCACAAGCAGTCAAGGATGGCAACCAAGAAAGAAAAAGAAGCCGGAGTATAGCCAACCTTTTTTAATTAGAGTATATTATACTTCCAAACTGGATACACTAGAAATCGGCAATGCAACGTAAGATGCAAAGGAGAATACCAGTTACTGTCAAAATGACCCTGTACAGCCTTGAATGCAAAAGCTTTATACAATACAAATCTCAGTCATGTACACAAACCTTGACAGTATGATCATCTGAACATAATATGAGGAGTTTTTTTAAAAAAAAAAAAGGAGAGGAAAGTGCTGAGGACCCTAACCGCATCACTCTATGGAAAACCAGGCCAGCATCCATGGGAGAATGCAGAGTGAAAACTGAACTAAAGTCAGCTGCTAGGCGAGTGTCTCAAAGGTGTTAGTGTTTTTCACGGGAAGGCTATCTACGGAATACATCCTTCCCTGGGTATCAATCAGCAAACCAGATTCAGGGGCACATTTTATCTAGGTGGATTCTGAAAAATGCTGTAGATTTTCCTCTTTATTAATAACAACAATAATATAAAAAGTCAAACAAACTGCAAACACACGTTTTCTCACTCAGAAAACTTTATAATTTACCAGAAAGATTGATGACTCTTTCCAAAGTGCTAAAAAAGTTGCCCAATTACATTAAGCATCACTAAGTCATTCAAACACAGGTTCAGTGGCCAGTGGTGAAACGCATGGCATTGGAGCAGAAACGTCTCCACCCACCTCCCCTTTCGCTCTCCCAAGCTCCCACCTGAAGACCTCTTATTGCACAAGTGGCATGCTGTAAAACCCAGGGTCCGCGTTTTCAGGGTCACCTATTCAGGTTCTTAACCTGTGGGTGCTTCTGTGGGAGTCACCTTTCTGCCCACTCCGGGGGACCCCTGTGGTCCTGTACTGTTGTCACTGAACCTAAAGTTTTGAAAACACATTATTAGCCAAGTGGCACATTCTCCATTAAATGGGGATAAAAACATGACTTTAAAACAAAAAACTAAAGTAAATAAAAAAAACAACAAACCCACCCATAAACCCAGTGACCTTGGGGGCATATTGTCCAGAAGTGTCTAGAGTGTCTTTGACCGAGATATTGACATGGCGAGTTGAACGACATTTCACACAAGGCCAAGAGCAAAGGTCTCTGCAGGAGATCGACTGAGGCTCTGGGGCCTTCCTGGGCTAGCTGGTTGGTCTCCTTGCCTTTGTGGAAATCTCCGTAGTGTAAACTTGTTTTGCCAGGGTCCTAATCAGGCTCCTCACCTATGGCTGGACGACGGGGCGGGGAGGGAAAGAGACCTGCTAGGTTTTCGAGAGGAAGGCTGAGAGGGGATGGGGAGCCAATTCTGTGGAGATGTACAGTCTTCTGGCTTTCCGTCCAACTGCACTAATCAGTGAAGCAATCCCGCCTAGAGGAAGAGATCAGGGTGCTTTTATTCCCCTAGTTAAAGTAAGGAACAAGGAAAGTGGGCACTGTCCCACCCGAGGACAATACAGTGAGGGAAAGAGCAACGGTAAGAAAGCCTTCCTCCTGGACAGCAGCTCTTCCTCCGATAAATAACAGAGAAACTTTCACATTCCAAACTTCTCATTTTCATACAAAGCACATGTCTTCCCGCTCGTTCAACCTGTTGCATACTGGAAATTCTGCTGTCTTACAAATACAAGCAGTGAACATATTCAGCCAGAGATTTTCTTTTCCTTTTTAAATCATCCGTTACTTTTTAAGATAAGCAAAGGGCTATTCGACCAATTCACACCTGCTTCCTGCTGCAATAAAGTGCTGCGATACACTGCCATTTTAATGACCGTAAAATAAGAGCTTTAAATAAGTATAAAGTCAGCCTCCTAGCAGGGCTACATCTACTAGGCGTTAACAGAACGGAATATGGGGTCACTAATACATGGAGGTTACACTCTAGCCAGAGGCTCTGCCAACGGAGGGGACTCCTGGGGCGTCAGTGAGGCACAGGACTAACAGCACCTTTTGGTATGTCCTTCCTTACACGGCAAAGAGGTCGTGGCTAAAATCTCAAACATACAGTCTACTCCTTCCATAAAAAGGTACGATTCCTTCCTTTTCTCTTACTTATTCCTTTTCCCCCAATGAGAAACAAAACTAGTGCAAGGCCCACGCCCTGTGCAAAGCCTGCCATTTCTTTTTAGTCTGAGCATTTACACCCAGAATCGATCCAAACCCTTTCATCTCTGCGGCTGGATTTATCAACCATAAAAATTTCCACTCATACAATTTTTTTTCCTGCAAACAATGATAGCAACTGAATCAATACATCACACACACATATATATTCTGCCCTTTAAAAAGGATGCACTCCCTCCCTGTGTGTGTGTGTGTGTGTGTGCATTCACCAAAGACCTTGTCTCCATGTGGGCACACACACAGAACACCCAAGTTTTGTGATGCCAGCTGCGGAGCTGTGAGACATTCCTTAACAGAACTGTTACCTGGCTCTCTCCGTCTTTCTTAGTGGAGATGTGAGCTCCAGGCTTCGAGCCTGGGAATATCCCGGCACCCTGCAGATCTTCATCCACTAAGCACCAGGCCCTACCACTCTGTAGCCATAAACTAAGGAGAGAAAGGCCGAGAAGGAGGTGGGGAGACTGTAGTGGAGGAACAATCCAGAAGGGAGAGAAAGAATGTTCATCACTGTCAAAGAGGTTGGTACAAAAAGAATGTGCAATAGAAATGTCATGGCACATACCACACACACACACCATACCACACACACACACACACACACACACACACACACACGTGCACACACACGCACATTTTCTCTTTCCCAATCCACAAATGTCCACAACACCCCAGTCACCCAACAGAAACCCAATGTACCAGTGGAGAAGCCTCCAAGTGCTGATTGCTATTAAGGACACTCTCGTTAGGGTTTAACATGACAAAATTCCTTTCAGAGAGAAGTACTCAGGAGGGCTGGGGGTGGGAGTGATGGCTGGGGAGGCATGCCTCTGAAGGTAGAAGTAGGCAGCAACACCTCTCCAAAGACTGGCTAAAGCAGCTTTCAGGTCAATGCAATAGGTACACATACAGAGCCAATTTTCTACTCCTTACTAAGATATACAGTACACATGGTCCAGACCCCTGGGGCCTGTAGGTTTTGCAGCAACATACACCTGCTGGGGTTGTATTTAAGTTTTGTGGGTTTTTGTCTTTTCCTGTCTGTCTCTTGGTTTTTGGTACAGAACGTGGCTGTCCTCAGACAGTCTCTGCTCTTTCTCTTAGTCCAAGATAGGCAAGGAAGGAGTGTTTGGGTGAGGGGATGCTGGGAGGCGCAGTCTGAGGTCGGGGAGGGTGGAATGTGAGATCCAGGTGGCTCTTGGGGTACAACATTGTCAAGGGAATGAGATGGGCAAAATCCGAGTTCCGGTATTTGTCAAGACGCAGCGGGGAGCCATTGAAGGCCAAGGCCTTGAGTGCCAGGTTGGGCTCCGAGCTGCTGCCGTGGGCTGCTGACAAGGCCACGGTCTGCAGAGCCTGTGAGGCTGACATGACTGACAGAGGGGACAAGAGACTCCGGCCACCCCCCACAACCAGGAGTGGGGCTCCAGGGCCAGCTGGCTCTCTGGAGGCTGGACTCAGGCCTTTCTTGTCCTCCTCAGGGCCGTCTCCACTCTGGTGCTTCTTCACATGGCGGCTGAAGACAAAGGGGTGTGTGGTCTTGAACAGGCACTCTCCGCAGCTGAAGGTCTGGCGGGGGGCATGCTTCAGCTTCTTGTGCAGATTGAGATTGTCCTTGCGCTTGCAGCTGTAGCTGCACTGGTCACAGTGGAAGGGCCGCTCCCCGGTGTGCACACGCACATGCTCGATGAGCTTGTTGGCCGTCTTAGACAGGTAGCCGCACTGGTCACACTTGTAGTGGTTGCCCAGGCGATGCTCACGGGTGTGCGTCTCCAGCTCCAGCTGGTTGGTCTTCACTGTCTGGCAGATCCGGCACTTGTACTCCATCTTGTAGTGGGTCTTAAGGTGGCACTCCATGGCAGCAGGGCGGTTGGTGGAGTAAATGCAGAACGGGCACCTGCCGGGGGAAGCAATGCAGGGGAGGGTCAGCAGGGAGGGCCCAGGGGCAACCCCACATCTCCCCTCCTCCCCAGCCTGCCCTGGGTCAGCCCTGCCACCTCTCAGGCGGCTTGGCTTGGCTTCACTGCTGACAGTCCAGGTTAACAGGGAGCTCTGGGTGGTCCACTTAGCTGGTGTGGGGGCTCCAGGCTGCAACAGCCGAGGCCAGCCCTCACAAAGGAGCAGAGAATGCGAGGAGCAAATAGAGCTGGCACTCCCCTCCTGCCCCCTCCCAGCCCCTGGGGCCCTCTCCCTCCCCACCCCCACCCCCCCACTGGACATGGCAGAAGCCTGGGCTTCCTGACCTCCCCTCTGGATGGGAGCGACACAAAGAACCGACTTTTCATGCACCACACCAAGCACACGCAGAAAGGCTAGGAGGCTTTGAAGAACAGCTTACAGGGGAGAGCTCCCTCCAGCAAACAGAAAGGTGGAGCCAGAGTCGTGCTTATTACAGGGTGTTAGGATGAGAAGGCCTGTGTGTGTCCCTCTGTGTGGCAGTGTGGTGTGCGTGTGTGCACCAACATGCATGTCCTCTCCTAAAGCACCGGATCTTCCTCAGGAATGGGAGGTGAGGACCGTGGCAGGGGCCTGGGAGAAGGAAGCCCACACAAACAGCCCCTCTACTCATGAGGAATGAGGAGGAAGGGGATTGCTCTCCAGAGCTTGAAGACATTCTTAGGACATAATCATGTCATAGAAGTACCAGTGATCCAACTGGAAGGTGAATTCTCCTGGGGTAGGACTTTTTTGAGATTTCTTTTGCATTCTCCATGGTGCTCAGAAGAGCACTCGGGAATACTGACTCATGGTCTGAGCATCTTTGCAGGGCATTGGGTAGATTCAATGTGCTGGGCGGAGTCCCAGCTCCAGCACCGGACTGGGCTCTAGGTGTCTCCTCTAGCACAAGGCCTGGGTATCTATCTCTGGCTTGGACTCTGCAGTCTTTCCATCATGGATCACCTACCACCAGCTCTGTCACAGTCAGAGGGGCTGTGAGGACTGGGGTGCGTATGTTTACAGAAGCTGCTGGGCTGCACGGCCGGAGCTGCCGGGTTTGAGTCTGTGACGTAGAGGAAAACTGTAGCATGTGTGCTCTTTCCAAAAAGAATGCAGATGCCTGAGTGACTGCCTCCGCTTGGACTGCGCTCCTGCAGGGCAGGGCTCGGAAGGGGGCTGTCCTCAGAGGGTTGGAGAGGTGCTCAGCAGAGCCCAGCCATCAGGGGCACCGTGCACTGCCACCTCAGCACCAAGCTCGCTGTTAGCCCTGGAACCTCAGCTCACAGAAGAGTGCACAGAAATATAAAAGCCCATTCCCAGGTCAAGTGCACACACAACCCCTACGCCAAGCTGGGCCTTACCTAGAGGAGTCTGAAACTCACCACTGTCCTGAGCTACGGCAAAAGAAAAATAATAGTATAATCTTATTTGATCTGCATTATGAACAGGATATAGAGTACAAGCAGTCCCATCACAGAAAAGCATTTAGACATCGGCGGTCTGTCTCGTGTTAAGGATGTTTCTGTGACCCTCAGCTCAATCTGTATTTCACTGCTCAGGCAAAGCACTCAGGCTTTTCCATGCTCCCATTATTTATCTTAAAGACACTTTCTCAGGCAAATTCATTCTCTGATATGGCAAAAGAAACAAACAAAACAAAACTCACTGTATAGCCAGAAGGCATTATCAATTTTTTTTCAAAGTATTCTTCTACTTGGTTGTCCTAAAACATAAACTATCATACGGGGATGGTTAGCGCCAACAGGAAGTGTCTGACCCAGTAAAGCATTGAGGTCATCGTGCAGTGTGTCCCCAGTGCCTCAGAGGCTCAGGCCTGCTTGGGGTCTCCAAAGGTGAGAGGCAAGGCCGCACATGGCGTGGGTGTGACTGAGCTACTGGAAGGTAATGATACTACTCCGTCCACAGAAGGCAGAGTCCCGCTTTTTAATAAAGAGTACACAAATCTCGATAAAGGGACAGTGGGATTAAGCCAAATCAAATTCCCAGCTGAGCTTCTGCCAGGCATTTCCCATCCTAGCTGAATGGGTTATAACCAGCCCTTCCCTCCCACCCTCCCACCTACACCCCGAAAGGTGGAGCAGGATGGACCGGCATCAGCAGCACGCGCTGCGCCCCAACGCTTGTGTGTTTTTGCAGAGGGTGCCCTGAGCAGCCAGCCCCACTCAGCCCCCATCACTCTGCCCCAGGTCCCTCTGGGCTCTCCAACTCTTACCCGTTTAGGAGGCATGGCACCTCTCTGAGGTTGTTTCAAGGTTAAAATGTTTTAAGATGAAAGACTGCCCCCCTGCTTATATTAAGAAAATAAAAGAAAAAGTGTTTCCCCCATTCTTTTACCTACACGATGATTTCTAGATGAAAATGCCTGGACAATTGTGTCTTTCTGTCCCCAACGATTTTATGCTCATCTCTTTACTACATCCAAAATGCCTTGTGATTTGGGACTCTGCTTCCAGAATCACTGGAAGATTAAATTCTGGTAGTGCTGGGACATACATTTCCTAAGGTTGGAACGACATTTTATTCTTCATGTGCCCTTTGGCGTCTATGGTCAGGCTAGTCCCATATAGTATGCTTGGTAATAGATGATGGGGCTCACTTGAGGCCAGGGCCTCGTTGCAAATACTGCTTAAGGATGATGTTCTTTGTCTAGATCTTTAGGGAAGGCGTCAGCACATCTGCAGGAAGACACAAGGCACTTGATGTTTGCACGAACACCGTTGCCTCTTGTCTGATCAAACCATCAAGATTCTACTTTGGGGGCTGGGGTGCCTACAGGACTGACTTAAACGCTAAACACATGTCAGGCCATCTAAACAGTGAACACAGGAACTTGCAGTGACAGCTTGTGAAATGATGGCTACCTGGGGACACTAGCCTGGAATCCATTAATTCCAGTCTGAACACGAGCCCAGCACCGCAGTACGAGCCTAGGCTTTCACACTTGGCATTGCCCTTGCCACGAGCCTGGGTACTTGTGAAGTGGCCTCTCCTGCTGATGTCGGTTGACTCCCTTGGGGACAGCGGGAACCCCATCCAGCCAGAGGCAGCAGATCTTTCTAACTCCCCCATACTAAGCTCCCCCACTCTGTGACCCCCAAAACCTTCATAGGGGTTAGGGTAGGACAGGGGAAAAGGGTGTTTAATAACAACTCAATAAAAGATTCTGTACTTGCTTTCCTTACTTGAGCCCACCGGTGGGGACAGTGTGGCATTTCTTATGCTCCAGCAGCTGCTCGGGGGTCTTCATGAACTTGTGGCACACGTCACACTCAAACATCCGGGTGATGAGGTGGATCTGCAGATGCCGCTCAAACATATTTTTCGTCTTGCAGACAAAGTTGCAAAAAACGCATTCGAACCCTGAAAGGACCGAAGCTTGGTGTAGGAGTGTGTGGGGAAAGACAGGCAGGGAGTCGCGGGAGAACTCCCCTTCCTTCCAACCCTGCGTCTTGTAACACATACAGCTTTCTGGGCACCATCCCTCACATCACTGCACTAGAAAATGGTTGAATGTCCAGCTTCAGTGTCCTGTCCCCTCCCCGTCTTCCCATCCCATATCTGAGCACAGATCAAGCCAAGGCAAAGGGCTCCGTTTTAGTAGTGAGCACCACACTGCAGTCAGTTTTCCTCTTCAAAGTTTGTTCTTAGGACTAGGTCGCCCTCGAGTGGGCACCTCTTGCCTCACCTTTCTCTGGCTTTTCCTCGCTGTTCAGTGAGGGCTGGCTCCCGGGTACCACGGAGATGACCAGCAAGTTGTTCGCACCCTTGTTTCTCTGGGAGCTGTCTGAGTCATCTTTGCCATTGGCTGAATCACTCAGAGTTGACAGCGAGGATGAGGAGGGGCTGTTTGATTCACTGGGGGTCTTCCTGTCATCCCCTGGAAAATGAAACAAGCCAGGTCTGTTACGGAGGGGCTGAAACCCCTTAGAATGGTGGCAGGTGAGGAAAAGGTGTCACCAACAGCTGGGAGCTCATTATTTCCGGTGCCCCCAGGGCACCCACTGGGAACCTGGTTCTGGTGCAGCCATGGTGAGGGCATGTGTGGAATGTTGGGCCAGATATGTGTGTGGGCATTGATGCAGGTCTTACAACAATGACAATATGACAGTAGTAGCCAAGATGGGTCACACAGAGTCCCAGGGTCTCTGTTATGTTTTAAATGCTTGTCTCAGTTTCTCCTCACAAACTTCCTCAGCATCAGAGAGGACTTAGCATGCTTGGGGGCTCTGTCACTCCACAGTGCGTACACCACTACACCTCTCCCAGGCACTAATACCACTCCTGCTTCACAGAGATCATATAAGATCGCTGTACCAGGTGCAGAAGTGTGAGTCAGTCTACTGTGTTCACACTCATCAGCACACATCCGGCTCTCCTTCCAAGCCAGGCATAAAGAGGTCAGCAAGCTATTAAAACCTAGTGTCACGAGACTCCAGCCAGTGCTTCACATCTATACTGCTACTGCAACAGCTAAAAACCAGAATCTATCAAACAACCATTTTTCCCACATTGGACATGAGGCAGTGAGAGGTTAGCCTCTGAGAGGCAGGACAAGGGAGGCAAGACCACAATTGCTTGGCTTCCTGCCCTAAGCTACGTCTCAGGTTGCAGGGCAGGAAGAAGGACACAGGAGGAGCCTGACGGACTCCCCTGGAGAGAGACACAGCCAGGGACCTGGGGAGGTCAAAATGGACAGACCCTGAAACACGGTGTCAACAAAGAGCAAGAACCCAGAGGCCTACAGAGGTCAGGAGGACGCGGGTCAGAGCAGGGGTAAGCAACCTCCATGCCGGAGGGGGAAGTCACCTGAGAACAGTGAGGTCAATGCCTGGCACTCACACAGGGCTGATCCCAGAGCTGTTCCCAGCAGCAAGGTCAGAACAATAAACAATTTACCAGCATTAGGTGGGACACTGAGGACGCGGACTTCTAAAAATGGGGCAATAATTAGTCCAAGTAGATGATCCATACCCGTCTAACAAATCATAGAAGAAAGAACCTGAAATATCAAGGCTTCCAAGTACCTATGTCCTAAATAAAGGTCATCAATGCTAATAGGAACAAAAGATACGCAACTGAACAGCCAGCACGGTAAGGCCAGAGTGTTTGCTTTCTAAACAAAGATTATCAGACATGCAAAGAAACAAGAAAAACCAGCTCCAAATGGGGAGGGAAATCAATCAACCAAATCTAACCCAGAACAGTCAGAGTTTTAGCATTTTTAGTAGAGGACATTATAATTATATTTCAAATGTCCACAAAGTTAGGCAGACACGTAGAAGATATGTGGAGGTCCAAACAGTACTTCTACAGACAGGTCATACATCACCTGAGGTTACACAGTAGGGGGAAGATCAGTGTGCTGAAGAGTTTTATGTCACCTGACACAAGGTAAAGTCATCTGAGAGGAGGGAACACCTATTAAGAAAATGGCTTCATAAGACAGGGCTCTAGGCAGGCCTGTGGAGCATTTTCATAATTAATAATTAATGGGGAGGGCCCAGCCCGTTGTGGGTGGTGCCACCCTTGGGCTGGTGGTCCTGGGTCTTTAAGGAAGCAGGCTGAGCACGCCATGAGGAGCAAGTCAGTAAGCACCCCTCCATTGTCTCTGCATCAGCTTCTGCCTCTCGGCTCCTGTCCTGTGTGAGTTCCTGTTCCTACGTCTTCCAATGATGAACGTGATGTGGAAGTGTAAGCCAAATAAGCCCTTTCCTCCCCAACTTCCTTTTTGGTCATGGTGTTTCATCACAGTAACAGAAACCCTTACTAAGACAATCAGTAAACCTCAAGTAACAGCTACAGGAAAGATCTGAAATGGAGCAGAGCAAAGAACCCTCCCAAATGAAAAGAACATCCTGGCACTGTGAGATGCTCTAGGCAATTTTATATGAGACTAACTGAGGTCCTGATTAGTTGGCCAGGGCATAACTTAACTTTTGTTTCTTTGAGACAGGGTCTCTCTCTATTAACACTGGCTGTCCTGGAACTCACTAAGTACCTCAGGCTGACCTCGAACTCACAGAGCTCTGCCTGCTTCTGCCTTCAAAGTGCTAGGATTAAAGACATGTGCCACCATGTCCAACTAATATCAATTTTTTTTTTCCGTGTAGCCCTGGCTGTCCTGGAAATTACTGTGTAGACCAGGCTGGACTTGAATTCAGAGATCTGCCTGCCTCTGCTTCCCAAGTTCTGGGATTTAAGGCCACCACATCGCTGACGATTTTTTGGGATGATCAAAATGTTTCTAACTTGTGGAAAACCATAGGATCAGTAGCTGAGGAGCTCAATGAATGTCAAGGACAAGAAACAGGAAGAGCCGAGAGTGCACCTACCACCTGGCCACGCAGGTGCCAGTTTGAGCTTGACAGTGAGACCCTGTCTGAAAAAGAAGACATCCATATCAAGAGACACAGGGGATGTCATCATCAAATTGCATCAATAAAAACAAGGAAAGAAAAAAAATCCCAGAGCCTTGTGTGGTGTGACGCTTGTGTCTTGCACTCAAGGGGCTGAGTCAGGAGGACAGAGGGACCGAGGCCAGCTTCTACTCCACAGTGAGATGCTGTCTAAAATAAAGTAAAAGAGAAGAAAAGAAAAAGGAGAGAAAAGTCCCAGGAAAAGGTCACATTATGTGGAAGAGCCGTGAGAAAGACAGCCGGCTTTCCCACAGGAGCAATCCTTGTGAAAAGCGACATCTTCAAAGAAACGAAAGACTGTCCACCTCAAACTTCGGACCCAGTGCAAACATATCATAAAGACAAGGACAAACAAAGTGGACATTTAAAAAGATGAAAGAACTTATCACCTGTAGACTTGAATTTAAGAAAAATTAAAGTGCGTCTTGTAAACAGAGGGCAAAGGGCAGCGGATGCAGACAGAGGCGCCAGCGCGCCAGGAGCAGTGCTGGAGACTGAGTGCGCACGGGGAAATGCGCTTCTTCTTCTTATTTAAGTGTCTTTGGAAAGTACTGGCACTTAACCCCACATGACAGGTTTAGAGCCTACTTGTGAGGAGAAATCTGAAAACCCGACAAAGGCTCCAGGGGAACTCGGAGGTGTGCCTTTGTGGGGTTCTGATACAAAGCAACATGAACATGAAGGTACATAGTGGACTCCATGTCATAAATATTGGTTTACACAACTTCATAATAACCTAGATTATTAATACACAGATTAGGATGAGTAGAACCAGGCCAAAGTCAAACCTCTCAAAGCAGTAGTAAACAGGAGACTCTCACTGTCGAATGTTAACTTCTAACAGGGGTCAGAAAGTGATAGTCCATGGACTCATGCTAGCATCCCGCTCTCATGAATCAGTTTCACTGAACCAAGACCGTTCACTTGTGTATCATCTACCAGGACTTTCAAGTTCCTATGGATGGAGAGCAGTGTCAAAACAAGGACACACAGGGAGGTGGGTAGGGAGGGGGAGAGGAGGTCTTGGAGGACTTGGGTGGGTGAATATGATCAAAATACCTTGTATGAAGCTGTCTAAGAATTCATAAAATAAAAATGGAAGGCCTGAGAGCCTGGAATGTTCATCACCTGGGTGCATGGAAACTCTAGCTTACAGCACCTAGACTTACAAACAACATTATCATCCCCTTCCATAGCAGCCAGAAACTTCAGAGCATTTCACTTTGTGGCTTCTGCTCTAACAAGTGAGGCTGTTTGTCCCAGGTTGTCTTGTCAGCTCAGAGGGAACAGTGTCTACCCTGTGCATTCTGTGGTGCTGAGGAGGTGTGCTGGCATTGCTTAGTCGTGAACGGGAAGTTTCCATGGATGCCAAGTTAACTTCTTCCTGAGCTGAGGGGTGAAGGGACTTTCAGGGACACACTGGAGTGGAAAGGGTGACAGAGTCAGGGTTTAACAGAAAAGACAAGAGAAAAACTACCGCAAAGCCAGTGTGAGCTGGAGTGAGGCTGCCTTTCCCTCCATTAGCCATTCCAGAAGGCCGAACTGAATGTGTCTTCCCTGTGGGTCTCCCAGCTCACCTACCACCCACAGTGCTAATACAGTTGCAGTCTGACAACTGACTGAAAAAATGGCACCTTCTCACTCAGCATAATGACTCTGTGGACTCCAAGTCATATCTGCTCAACTTACTGACAAAAATAGAGTTTTGGTTTTTTTTTTTGCTATTGGCACCAGCAATCCAATGGTCAGAGAAACAGATCCTTCTTGGCCACGCACATCGTCAGCACAACTGTCAGGGAGATTCCCCTTCCTGGGTCCTTTGAGAGCCGGCGATGTGATGGGCTGACCCCACGCCCAGGACCGGCAGTTAGCAACATCGGCTCTTAATTTGGAAGCACCATAAATGGGGGTGGCGGTGGGAGTAGAGGGCAGTCCCTCTCAATCTCGCTTAATGACTTCACGCTGGTGTCGTCCGTAACCATCACTTTTGAGGGTGTAATTGTGAGGTGAAGTCAAAGTGCTAACATTAACGGAAGAGGCTAACCAGCGTGACAGGAGGCTCTCCACGAAGGGCGAGCACTGGCCAGGCCTTGTCAGCGTGGTTTCAGAAGATGGTAGTCTGAACAGACATACCATGTGTCATTGTGGAGCTTACAGAATTCAGGGTACAGTGCCCTGGTGCAGCAAAACAGAAGGTTCAAGGCCCTGCCAAGTGTCCTGAAGGTGGTCAGAACAGAACAGACTGTAGGATGTCAAGCAAGCCCTGTTCTGGGATAAGGTTCAGAATCCACATCCTGTCATTGACCTGGAATGGGCCAGCCCATCCCTTAGTCTCTCAAATTCACACTAGCAGGTTACTGTTGGCGGAGATGAGCAGGCAAAGCCCAAGCCCCAGGCAGAAGAGTTTAGTGACCATTAGGTGTGGTGATGATGGCCAGGACCAGGGGAGGACCAAGCATGCAGCTTGTGGGTCTCAGCAGTATCTATACTCCTGCAGCAAACTCCAGGTCTACTTAGGCCATGACACTATGACTACAGGGGTGATGTGACTCTGATGCTCTGGGAGAGTCCCCACTCCTGTGCAGGACACACTCAGGTCTCACAGCAGTGAGAACACTTCTGCCACGTGCATGCCAGTGGGGTGCAGGGGACAGAAAAGGACAGGGACGGTCACCTGTGTGCTTGGTGCCAATGTGATTCTTTATCTCTGCTTCTTCCATGGTTACAAAGTCACAGGCCGTGCAGCAAATGGAAAACATCCACTGCTCCTTGTCCACGTGGAGGGACATGTGGCTTACAAACTGGACATTGAGCTCCGTCTCAAATCCACACACATGACAACTAAAACAAGGAAGGAAAGGGGAAGGGTGAGACAGGCTTTTAAACACAGGCTGCTCACTTACATGCAGTGCACACGAGAAGACCAGTTTCATGTGTGTTCATTATAGCAAAAGGTACAGCATCAGGAAATTCCTCTGCCTGCTCGGATGCTTCTGGAGTGGTCACCGTGCCAAAGAGATTAGATGCCAGCATAATACAGCAATCCCATACATGCTATAATGATGCTAAATAGTCATAAAGTTAATTAAAAACTACAGATTCCAGATGCTGCACATGGCCTAACGGGCTCCTCTGGGCGGTGTTGCCAAGGTATTCAGTGGTGGCCCACTGGCGGATCAGACTGCTGCACCTCTGTCTCCCTTTGGCTCTAGAACCCTTGGGTGCAGCGAGGAGAGCCAACAGATCTTTCCGTGGCACTCTGAGCAAGAGGCAGTCACATGACATCTCCCAGGAGAAGCCGCACATCCACTCAGATGCCTTGCAGGGCAACTTTCTGCCAATATCACTAGGGCAAGATTTGATAGACTCAGGGTTTCATGCTGATTCAAGGTTGAACACAGAATGCAGTATGTCATAATGGGCAACCAGGGGACAGCACACTGGGCCATCTGAGCAACTGCATGGGAGTTCTCAGACCACCTTTTTGTGTGTTTTTCCCTGTTATTCTTAGGTTGTAGCAAGGTACTCAGCCACCAAGTGCAGAGCCGCACCACAGCTAAGAGCCAATCACCCACAGAGCCCCGGTCTCTCTCTGGAGCCCTGTCTTAAAGACCTATCCCTCACACCAGCTCTCTTTCCATCAATTTTATTGGAGCCACCCGGGCTAGACAGGAATCCATGCAAAGGCAGGGTTAATATAAGCAAAGGACATAGAGTGAGGCGAGCATCTGCCTGAGGGACGGGGCTCTAGGCAGGCAGGGAGGGAGTGTCAGCGCCAGGGTCTAAGGAACTTGGGCGAGCCGCTCCTGACTCACCTGTAATAGTAAGGGTGTTTCTTCCCGTCACTGCCTTCAGAAGTGACGGCACTGACGATGTCCTCGGTGTCGGTACTCACCAGCTTCACAGAGTGCACGGTCAGGTGCTGGTTCAGATTTGCACGGCACTTAGCAGCGTACGGGCACAAATGGCATTTGTATTTTCTTTCCTCTGGGGGAGAAACCAAAACTGCTCTCAAAAAAGAAAAAAAAAAATTCAAGAGCTCACTCAGAGGAACCAGTAAAAGTCGGTCCAAGTCTCCCTTCACGTGGGGACAAAGGTCATGCCTTGCAAGGGTTCCTAAGTGTATCCCTAACTCACAAGGATTAAAAAAGGCTCTCTCTAGGCAGCGGGACAAGACTTTGAGGCTGAAGCGTGGGTTTTATGGTGTCCAAACCAAATCTGATTCAAGGGAGGTTCTGGAAGCCAAAAGCAGCACGGTAGCAACGGCTGCATGACTGCAACGCTGCATGACTGCAATGCTGCATGATGACCCAACCCAGAGCCATGTGCCACGCTTGGAGCTGCTTCCTCAGAGTTCTCAGATTTATTTGTCTTGGAACCTCGTCCTCCATCCCTCTTCATGACAAGGTTTGCTGCATGAGTATGAACGAGTGTGCCATGTGTCATCCCTTATCCCTCTTCATGACAAGGTGTGTTTGCTGTGTGAGTGTGCACATGAGTGTGTCCCGTGTGTCACTTTTGGGCAGGCACTAAGATGGGGAGAGCTAAGGAAATAAACCCTGATAGAACAGAAGCTTAAGAGGTCCATCACTTCCCCTCAGCTCCAGGCCCCGGCCAGCCAAGGAAGAAAAAAACTAATGAAATTAAAGGGGGAAAATGACTTGTATAAAATAATTTAATTGGAAATTTTCATTTTACGTAAATAAAATTGAAAAATCTCAATTAATTTGTTAATGGAAATTGGTTCATAAAGCTGACTAAGTTTCAGGAGCACTTCCAGAGCGGCGTTCTGAATTCATTTGATTAATCACAGGAATTGTTAAGTCCACAGAGCAGCCCTGCTTCCCTGTTAGATGATTACAAACTCACTTCCTATCCCAATGTCTGGGCTTGACTTGAAGACACTTGTCTCGTTTCCTTCACCAGGAAGAATGTGGGGTAAAAAGTGTTCCCATCACAAAATGCAAGATACCACGTTCTGTCACAGTGTTGCCCTCCACCCCATTCTGATAGTGGCAGGCTCCAGGCTGGCCCTGAAGTGTGGGGAACATATCTTAGAGTTTCCACCTTGGTGCTGAGAGATGAGGACCTGGGTTTCAGCACTCAGGTTCACTTCCTCGAGGGGGAGTGGTCCCTCAAAGGGCCAGGAACACTGGGATTTCCTTTTCTCAGGCGTAAGGACTACCTGGGAAAATCTGTCTAATATCTTTATTAACAGTATTTCTTTATCAGCTTTCCAAATTTCCCTTCATAATGGATTTATTCAAGTTCTTGTCTCAGTGCTATTTTGGTAATTTTGCTTAATTATCTATCAGCTAACTTCTATGCTGAAGAAAAAAAAATGAGATGCTTTATTCTCCAATAATTCTCTCTTTCTCTTGAAACACACCTGCCTCTACCTCCCAAGTGCTGGGATTAAAGACATGTGCCACCACACCCGCCTCAAAAATTCTCCAGTGTCCTCTGTGATTAGCTTTCCCTTTCTTCCCCAGCCCAGAGTGTACCTGCTTCCCTTAATCAGGCATCAGGGAAGTTGTCTGGATTTAAGTGCTCTTTACTGACTCCTCAAGATGAGCGACAAGTTCCTTTATTTTTTCTTACGATTTATTTTATGTGCATTGGTGTTTTGTCTGCATGTACATCTATGTGAGTGTGTCAGATCTCAGGACCTGGGCTTACAGACAGTTGTGGGTGCTGGGAATCGAACCCGGGTCCTCTGGAAGAGCAGCCAGTGCTCTTAATCCGAGTCGTCTCCAGCCCCTTTATTTTTCTATGGCTTTTGTGCTGACTTGAGTTGTATCTATCTTAGGTGAAGGGATAAAGTGTTCTCATTCCTTTTAGATATCTGATACTGCATTTTCTTTTTCTTCCCTTTTGAAAATTGATCCTAATTAAGTAGGGAATTTTATTCCTCCTCAGTTACTTGGTTACTTGAAATTTCGTTACTTGGTTACTTGAAATTTCATTTAAGTATGCTTAAAGAACAAGGCCTTAAAATGCCCACTTCTTAAAAACACGTTATTGTTTTCTGTCTAATATATGACGAAAATTTGAATTTAGTGGATTTAAAAAGATAAAAAGGTCAACATTAATTTGTCCTATAAATATTGTCTCTGCATTTAGTTTTGCATAATTGCACAAAAAATCTTACTTTGAACCTTTATATTTTTCTTTTTTTTAGATAGGGTTTGTACTCCATGCTGAGCTCAAACTACAGATGCTCCTGCCTCAGCCTCCCAAATGCTGATATTACAGGTGTATTTCAGTATACTTGGCTCTAGTATATTAATAGCTCTGATATTACAGGTGTGTTTCAGCATGCCTGGCTCTATCATATTGATAGCTCTGATACTACAGGTGTGTTTCAGCATGCCTGGCTCTATCATATTGATAGCTCTGATACTACAGGTGTGTTTCAGCATGCCTGGCTCTATCATATTAATAGCTCTGATATTACAGGTGTGTTTCAGTATACTTGGCTCTAGTATATTAATAGCTCTGATATTACAGGTGTGTTTCAGCATACCTGGCTCTATCATATTAATAGCTCTGATATTACAGGTGTGTTTCAGCATGCCTGGCTCTATCATATTGATAGCTCTGATACTACAGGTGTGTTTCAGCATGCCTGGCTCTATCATATTGATAGCTCTGATACTACAGGTGTGTTTCAGCATGCCTGGCTCTATCATATTGATAGCTCTGATACTACAGGTGTGTTTCAGCATGCCTGGCTCTATCATATTAATAGCTCTGATATTACAGGTGTGTTTCAGTATACTTGGCTCTAGTATATTAATAGCTCTGATATTACAGGTGTGTTTCAGCATACCTGGCTCTATCATATTAATAGCTCTGATATTACAGGTGTGTTTCAGCATGCCTGGCTCTATCATATTGATAGCTCTGATACTACAGGTGTGTTTCAGCATGCCTGGCTCTATCATATTGATAGCTCTGATACTACAGGTGTGTTTCAGCATGCCTGGCTCTATCATATTGATAGCTCTGATACTACAGGTGTGTTTCAGCATACCTGGCTCTATCATATTGATAGCTCTGATATTACAGGTGTGTTTCAGTATGCCTGGCTCTATCATATTGATAGCTCTGATATTACAGGCGTGTTTCAGTATGCCTGGCTCTATCATATTAATAGCTCTGATATTACAGGCGTGTTTCAGTATGCCTGGCTCTATCACATTGATAGCTCTGATATTATAGGTGTGTTTCAGCATACCTGGCTCTATCATATTGATAGCTCTGATATTACAGGTGTGTTTCAGTATGCCTGGCTCTATCATATTGATAGCTCTGATATTACAGGTGTGTTTCAGTATGCCTGGCCATATCATACTGGTATATCATCTGGATGTCTTTAAAGTCTGACTTAATGTCAGGCTTTCAAAATAGTTGACTGTACTTCCTTCGGCGTTGAGGACTGAATGCTGGCGTCACATGTACTCTACTGCTGAGCCACACTTCAGGCCCGTCATCTGCACCTTCGGAATGCTTACTGATAAGGTCACTTGACCTTTTCTGCCTTCATTTGCTTTTGCTGATTATGCTACTGTTTGTTCTTTCTTTACTTTTTGTTAATTGGTTGCCCTCCTTGTCCTGACCCTTAGAACCGACATTTGCTGTCCAGTGTTACAGGTAAACAAAGACAGAAACTATCTCTCCACCACCATAGTGCTCCCCCACCCACTGCACCTGCCACCATGAGATGAACCAGAGGAGTGTCTCTTAAGCTCTCACACACCCTGGCTGTGAATAGCCATTCTTACATAATCCTATATCATACTTAGCACTCACACTTAAATCTATATTAGCACTCATACTCAAATCTAAATTAAAATCTCTTAATAAAAAGAAGTAGAAACTAAGTAGGTGGGGTTCAGCCCCAGCCTCTGAACCTTTAAGAGGCTATGAATCTGTTCTTCATAGAGTTCGGGAGTTGACCTGGAGGTACTTAAATGTATATCTTTTCTCATTAGTTCCTCTGGGAATCCAACGAGGCTTTTCAATATAGAGGTTTCCAGGGTCTCATTTACACATAACAGGCAGCACGGCCCGTAAGGGTCAGAACTGGCTAACTTTCCACCACTTCCTGTAGCGATTCTCCTATAGGTCTGGGAGGGGCCATGGCGTACTTGGAAGCTGTGGTCCCCACTCACCCGTGTGCAGCGAGAGGTGTCGAGACAGGGTCTGCTGTCGGCCGAACACTTTCCCACACACATCGCAGGGAAAGAGCTGGTCATTGAACTTCCATGAGGGTAATCCATTTCCTGCCTCAAGGACTATCTTCTCTGTCTCTGGGCAAAGAGAACAAGGCATTGTGAGGAACACAGGGCAAAAGAAATGGATGGCATTTTAGCCAACTATGAAGATGTGTTCAGAGGCTTCCCCACTAACAAGAACCAGTGGCCATCCTCATCCTCATCCCTATCAATGAAGGGTATTGGTGGGGCCCCAATGGCAAAGGGGTCCACAACCCAACAGCCGTTGTGTCTTTGGTGGTTCCTCTTACTGGTAAAGGCCAGTACACACACACACACACACACACACACACACACACACACACACACACACACAGGCCTGACAGTACTCTCTTCTCTACACAGAAGGTACTCAATAAACACTTGCATGATAACTTTCTAGAAATGTAGACACCTGCTACAAAACAGTAAACAAAACATTTGAGAGGCCAGGTTCCAATATGAAAATAAATAGTTCCATGTCTGGAGAGAAAATATCCCATTGCTCTTTATAAAGAAAAGTTTTGCTGCCAAGTTCTGAGTTGTGCAAAGTCTTTAGGCAGGAGCTCACATAAAGCTGACTCAGGACGACCACCATACAGTGGATCTAGTGCAAGAGCACCGACTGTGGTGCTCCACGTCTCCTGTCTCATCCAGAAAACAGTGCTCCACGAGCAGTCCAGATGCAGCCTTGAAAGGAGTAAGCACACGTCAATACACTCTCTTTCCAACTTAGAAACCTTTTATTTTCCATCATTGTCAATAGAATTTCCTTTTATTTCTGACCCGTGCCTCTTCTTTTTTTTTTTTTTTTTTTTTTTTTGGTTTTTTTGAGACAGGGTTTCTCTGTGTAGCTTTGCGCCTTTTCCTGGATCTCGCTCTGTAGACCAGGCTGGCCTCGAACTCACAGAGATCCGCCTGCCTCTGCCTCCCGAGTGCTGGGATTAAAGGCGTGCGCCACCACCGCCCGGCACCGTGCCTCTTCTTAATGAACCACAATAGACTACACAAACATCTCATCTGAAGCCGTGTAAGAAGGCAGGTGACGGAGAGGGATGCCCGGAAGAGGGGAGTGGACATTTCCAAGGGACAGTCAGCCAGTGTTTGTCCTTGACCTGACCGAGTTACTGTGGCCTTCCTGAAGCACGGTGCTACATTACAGAATGGAGTGCATATGGGGAAAATTAAATGTCACCAGGAACTTCTCCTAAGATCCAAGCAGAAGGAAGTGTCCTGAGTGCTGTTTGGAGAACACGGCAGAACCAAATGCTTGATTTCATACAACTAGGCTAAACTGTTTCCAGATACAAGTTTCCACCCGTGTTTGGAGAAGTCAACTGGATCAATGCACATTTGAATGAGGCTTTGCCCGGCAGTGTACTCTGAGGAAAGAAGAAACAAATGCTGCAGAACTGGGAAGGAAGAGCAGGGAGAAGCCGTGGGGAAACGGGAATAATGTTTGCTGCGCGGTCCTTGCCAGCAATCTCAGCCCTGATAAACACATCTATTGATTGATCTGTGTTTGTTAAAACACAGCTCTCAAGGCCTCAGGGAGAAGCAGCTAGTTTGTGTCAGGCAGGAATGCCTGACTAGGACTGTCCATAGAGCATGGGGTGGAAGGGCGTAGGGGATGGTGAGAAGGTGAAGAGAGGAGGGTCAGTCAGACATCTAAAGACAAGGACCACTCCTGGGTGACCGTCCTCACGCCTGAGTGTGGGTATTTCAGCCACATAGAGATGGGAATGGTATTTCAAGTAGTTCCTTCCAAGTGTGTAATCAAATAGCGCTTTCAGGAGGGCGATAATTGTAATAATAGGTGGAGGTCAAGATGGCGCAGTGTCTTCCAATACATCCACAATAAATGAATTAATTGTGCCACAGACCCAGCACGTAGGTGCAATTAACAATGAAGACGCCTCTTAATAATTCTTCTGAGTATTAGTCATGTACTTGAGAAGCTAAAGCATCATAAAGAATTCAGCTACTTCCACAGTCTTAGAAAGCTGTTGCAACTTTGAGGACCCAGACAACTAAGCAGAGAACGCACCACACAGGCACATGAGGCACCCAACATGCCCCAGCCCCAGCCCGTCTGGGCATGGATCTTAACCCCCTGGTGTCTGCATCTATGCTACAGGGACTAAAGACTAGTCTTATTTACAGTCAGATGAATGGGGACTTCTTAGCATTAACATATTGATTAGCACAATTAATTTAATAGCATAACTATTAAGGTCAACTGATAATTTAGAGCAAAAAGTAAGGCATATATGTGTGTAAGGCTAATCTTGGTTGTCAGTTGGACATTCCTGGAAAGAGGTAGCCTCAATGGAAGAGCTAGCTCTATCAGAATGGCCTGTGGCCATGTCTGTGGGACATTTACTTGATTACAAATTGACATAGGAGGGCTCAGCCCCCCCGGAGTGGTACAATCCCTAGGCAGTGGGCTTGGGCTGTACAATAAGGCTAACTGAACACTGAGAGCAAGCCAGTAAGCAATGCTTGTCCATGGCTTCTGCTTCAAGCTCCTTCCTTGAGTTCCTGCCTAGGTCCCCCTTGATGATGGACTGTAACCTGTAAATCAAATAAGTCCCCCAACTCCCCAAGTTGCTTTTGGTCAGAGTGTTTATCACAGCAACAGAGAAGAAATCAGAGCAGTGTTTTAACTAAACTTAAGAGATGTGCGCTCATGGTTCTTAGTGGAAATGCTGGCAGTCTTAAGTCAAACTGCAAAGGTTTTACAGCCTCCCAGTCACACCACATCCCAGGTCGATTCTGGCTGAGACAATCTCTCTGGCAGACACGATTACTGTTAACCCGACAGTCATAGTCACAACAGTCCTTTCCTGCTGTCCTCTCCCACTATGGAGGCAACTGCTGTTGGTCATGAGTCAAGAGCACTGTCCATTGAAAAGGCTTTTGCTTTCCTGATGAAAAGAAGGACATGATTGGGTGTCAGTTTTCTTTCTTTTTCATGCTTTGATAGTAGAGGGAACACCAGGGATGGTGGCAGCTCTTGCGTGAATATGAAGCATGAAGAAGCAAGCCAACTTCCAAGCATGGAGGAAGAAGGTGATGGAAAAAACAAAACAAACAAAGCAGGGCTTTGCTGTCACTGCTCAGTGGCCAAGTGAAGCCAGGAGTCATTTACCACTGGATTTCTTGTTTGGTGAAGAAAATAAGTCACTGAATTTTTTTAAATTACTCATGCCATTCTTAACCGAAACCCTCTTCCACGCTCGTCTCCCAGCTGCAGCATCCCTGAAGGGCACTTCATCTTCTCTCTTGACAGCAGCAAGTGTGAAGCTGGAGGAGCACATTCCCATCTTAATTATCTTTGGTTCTGCTTTAAAAACCTTAAAAGTCTTTTTTTTTTTTTTTTAGATTAGTAAAGGAATTTACTTTAATTTTTTTTTAACTGAAGCACAACATGTACCCCAAATGGAAAAGCATGCACACCAGTAACTGCATCTCAATTAGTCTCAAAGTCTCCAGACAGTTCAAACTATGGTGTTATTTAAAAACTCTGACTTCATTCTTTACCCCAGACCCCCTGGTGTTTGCTTCATTATTTTAAGTAGCTGCACAGTTATGATCTTTTCCCTTTCTTTTAGAGCAAAACTCCAGTCTAATGACAAATTCTTTCTTGCCCAGTTTCATAGGATTTTATCTCGGGCAAAAACATTTTATTCCTTTTCAGATATTTTTATTCTGATTTCTAGAATACCCTCAAATCGCTCCGTAGACTCCTGGCTACGTGGTACGATGCAGTCTCAGGCTTTCCTCTCTAACCGTTCACCTGTAGTTTTAGCCTTGAACATCACTTAGGGCTTTTCCATGTCCTTAATTAAGGCTTCTGTTCCATTTTGTATGGTGGATGGCATGCAGCCCCTCACACATGCCAAGCTGTACCACTGAGCTGCACCCCCATCTACGTTTTTAATTTCAGTGATGCAAACAGATGTACAGGCACAAGTATTTTTGTCTCTGCAGTATGGCCGTGTCTATGCAGTGTCAGTGAGATGTCCCCAGCCATCAATACACAGTGACTTGTGGCCCCCTATTCATGATGATGAGGCCTCATTTGCAAGATGCAATATGGCAAACTGTGCTTCTTAAGACCTGCTGACCCAAAGGGATGTGTCTTATTTGATACACAGGTCATGGGCATGGGATGACCAAACCCAACAACTGTGTCTCCAAAACTGTAGACTGGGGCACAGAATATGGAGCAAGCTGAGGACCCACTGAGCCTCAAACCCAACCCCTTCATAAAAGAGGACCAAATGAATCATTAATTCCAAGATCTTTCCCAACCCGAGGTGCTGTGGGATGTTCTGTATGGCAAATGTGTTGCTCTGATTGGTTGGTAAATAAAACACTGATTGGCCAGTAGCCAGGCAGGAAGTGTAGGTGGGACAAGGAGGAGAATAAAGCTGGGAAGTGGAAGGCTGAGTCAGAGAGACACTGCCAGCCGCCACGATGACAAACAGCATGTGAAGATGCCAGTAAGCCATGAGCCACGTGGCAAGGTATAGATTAATAGAAATGGATTAATTTAAGCTGTAAGAACAGTTAGCAAGAAGGCTGCCACGGCCATACAGTTTGTAACCAATATAAGTCTCTGTGTTTACTTGGTTGGGTCTGAGTGTCTGTGGGACTGGCAGGTGACAGAGATTTGTCCTGACTGTGGACCAGGCAGGAAAACTCTAGCTACACCAAGGTGTACTTCAAGTTGCTTATGGTCAAGAAGGGTTTCCATGGTAACCATGTTTCCACTCTACCTCAAACCTTCATTCAAGAAGGAACCTGAATTTTCATCTTGTTTAAGTCTCTTTTCTTAGATGAAAGAAAACCAAGGCTCAGAGAAAGCAAGTGACTTCCCTAGGCCGTCTTGTTAGTGGCTGAGAGAACTGGACTTCCCCATATTTCATCTTTGCTCCTCCAAGCCACAAGAAACCAACTCAAAACCCTACAACAAACAAAAGGATTTTCTCCTCCCCCTGTTCCTTGGCTGTGCATTTAATATTCTTAGCTACAAGTGATACATAAATCAG